CGCGGCGCATTGTGCGGACCGGTCCGTGTCGCTGGCAAGCGGTCTGGACCGGTGCGCGGTACCGGCTGAGTCACGTTCCTGACTCGGGCCGCCCGCCCGGGTTGGTTCGGTGTAGTGGTCCACTCGGCGTGGTCACACCAAGTCTGTGCACTGTGCACCAGTGACGCAATCTGCACTTGGACGAATGGGTATGGACCCGCAGGAAGCTGCTTGAGAGGAGAAATGTGAGCGGGAGGAAGGAGGCCTCTGAGCTTAGCTGGAGGCTCCGTCACGGCCAATGGCATATCGATGCTGATCGAATTTGGAATTCGGAGTGAAGGGAGAGACGGCGTGGCCCGGGGCGCCGCCCGTGGATTTGACTAATGGTCGGGCGATAAAACCGGCCAGCAAAACCCGTTTTCGAGTCCCACGCGACCAGCGAGCTATTTCGGTATGCCTGCGCTGCTCCCTTGGATAAGCCGCGTTTGGAAGCATAAGACAGCGTGGCTTTAATTTACGATATGTCGCCCCAAAACACAGCGAGATGTGTTCTCGATTGTCGTTTTTATTAGAAAAATAATTAATTTACAAACTTATTTGCATATTTCTTTGATGTGTCTATCCGATTCGTTGTCGATTTGCGTATGAATAAAGAAGAGTTCAGATTCGAAATCTTCGGACATTTTTTATTATGCATGCAGTTTAATCACCCTATGTTAAGTTTTAGCTGCGATTTATTTTACAGGAGTCGGGGAACACCTTACGGCTAAATTAACTTCCCGCCCCTACGCGCCACTTGCCGAGCTCCGTAGGTAAATTTAATTAGTTTGCAGCAACTGGTCCGTTGATGCTCTTGGTCGCACTGGTTATTTGAGCTAATGCTAGCTCGGTGGCTGTGCCCAAACAGCCCAACCCGGCCTCGGCCATTGAACACACGCTCACTCTCTCCGCGTGCGATGAAGACGGCGCACTCACTTTCAGCACTACGGTACTGACAATGAAGCGAGCGTGCGTGGCCTGGTTTGTACGTTTTTGTCCCACGAAGGTCGACTCTGACTGAAGGATTGGGGTGCGCGCATTTAATCGATTCTGCCATTGTCTGAAGATGTCCTTCCAATGCAGAATGGGCTGAAGCACGCTGGGTATTTAGGCCAGACGGAGACATCACTGAGATGGTCTAAGCGGCGAAAACCACACGCTCTCCGTCTTCACTCTACCGTTACATCTCTGATAGTGCCGATGCCCGATACCCTATAATACGGGGTGTTGTGGTTGCGGCCCCAGCTCCGGCGACCCCACACAGTGCTGCGTCTCGGCCGAGGGGATGGGATGCAGCGTCACTGACCATAACACCTGGCTGGCCGCCGGTCACGCGCGTCCAAGCCGTATCAGGCCAGCGCGGCAGCGGAACGGGCGGCGTCACCCTGCGACCACCCAGGACCGGCCGGCGGCCGCCCCCGCCCCCGCCCCCGCCAGTGCCGCCGCCCGCCGCCCAGCCGACCCGCCCGGTAAAAACTGTATGGCCGTAATTTTCACCCGATCTCCTGGCGGAGAAAAACGCGCCCGAACGCCAATTAAATAGGGCAAGCCGGATAATACTGGAGCAATTTGGCCGGTTCGGCTCGGGCCCCGGCTATCTTCTGATTGCGCTTTTGACGTACACCTCGATTGGCTTCGGACCGAGCAATGGCTAATGGCTGGATTCGGTGGCCATAAAGAAGATTCTTTAAGCAGCCTCTGACTTGGCTCGGCCCGGACCTGAGGAGGCAATCGAAAAATGACCTCATGGGGTGAGCTGACACCGTACTGAAAACCCACCGGAAACTGACCTGATGTGACCCAGGGCAATTATTGGACACGCGAGATGAGACAAATGTGTTTGTCTACGTCTGTTCAAGAGCCTTTGTACTTTGTAGGGAGCTGTATCATATTACTTTGTTACCAATGCGAGAATTTTGCTCAACAACAGATCCGATAGATGAAAAATGCATTGCCAGTGCTGCTTATCGTCATTGATAAGATGGAAAACACTGCAATGAATACCCATATCTTAACCCTCGCACGACCAGGCCATTTCTCATAACACGAACGACCAGGGGGGGGGGGGGGTTGTTACGACCCCCCTGGCGTTTCGAAACGGAAGGTCGTAGAGCTTAGCGGAAAAAACCAACGGATTGCTCTCAACGAGATCTTGCGATTGATGGTATATTTTTTGGTCCTAGGTCAACATTTGACCTACTTATGACCGGTCAAAGGTCAAATTTTCCGAAAAAATCAAACTTTTTCAACTTTCCGCGGCGATTGCGGCAAAACGGTGGGAGATATCGACTTGAAACCTTCACTATCGTGTTCCTTGATCAATTCTCTATCGTTTGGTATGTATTTCGTTTCCCTAGCTCTAAAAATGGCGCGTTGGGAGCGCCGGAAGTCGGCAAGGTCACAGTCGGCGGCAGAAATTCGAAAAATCAAAATTTAAATTTTTGAAATCTGATTGTATTTTTGGATTTGGGAGGTCCATTTGCTCCCTATAGAAGCTAATATTGCTGCATATTCCCATTGAGGTGACAAGAATTAGCAAAATAGTGGTTCGGGCGCTTTTCAAAAATAGTACCGGACGCTGTTCCTCTTGTGACGTCATAGCTCCGTGACCTGACCTGACCCGGTCAATTTTATTGCACCACACGATAGCCAATGCTTGCCCCAACATGCATGGGAAGTTTCATCATGATCCATCAAACAATGTGGGTATCACCGGCAGAAAACCTAGGGATTCGGCGCACACGTTTGGTAACTGTCGGCCGGAGGCTGTACCTCTTATGACGTCATAACTCCGTGACCTGACATGACCCGATCAATTTTTTTCGGCAAAAGATGCGCAAAGGTTGCCCCAGAGGGTATTGAAAATTTCAGCCCGCTACGACAAGCCGTTTAGCGTGCACTTCGAAAAAACCTCAGGGGGGGGGTTGATACAACCCCCCTAGGCGTTCTAGGTTAATCACCCGATGTAACCTCATTGATAAAACTGACGACTGATCGGGTGCCATGGTGACGGTCGTACCAAATCGGTAAATCCCTTCCAGCTCATCTGACATGCTTTTCTTTTTCAGTACTGGGGATCCCAAAAGAAGGTCGTCAGGCAGCTTAAAGGTAAGAACCTGCCGAGTATGTGTATACATGCGCATATTTTAATCAATTCAGATGCTAAGTCATTCATTTGTTGCCGCAACGTCAGCAAGATTCACTTATTTGGGATGCCTGTTGCGATAGTCTTGCAGACAACTTCGTTTCATTGTGGCATGGTGACAGACAGAATGTGCCGATAATTCTAAGGGGTTTCTCGGTTTCCCAATTACCTTCACACTGGAGTTGCGGAATCCTCCGTATCCCCATGAATGACATTAATTCCGATGGTACCTAGTTTTTTTTTTTAACACAGAGCGACTGTTATGAAATTGAAAAAAACTTGCGGTTTCTTCGGATATCGTTCTAGTTATGAACACTGCATGATATTGTTCCGCGTCAAACCCTATTTAGACCTATTCATTTCTATCAAGTTTATCCATGCAGGTCGGCCAAATGGTGTTATAGAGACCTGCTGAAATATCCACTCGATATTTATCTTATATTATGCAATCCAGAACTCGGTCACATCCACGAAGTCACCGCTGTTTCCACATATCAGTAGCGTCATATTCTGAACTTAGCACTGCATATAACAGAGCGAGTGGGCTACCTCCAGTGGCAGTGATGCCCGTTTTTTTTTTTTCGCCGGCGCTGGGCGTCGCCCGTCACTGTGTCACACGACATCAAAGGTGCCGCCTGTCACGACCGACCGCTACGGGGCGGAGCCGCCTTTTTACTGCCGCCCCGCGAACAGCACAGGCGCCATCGATAAATGACAATCAACGCCGAAAAAGTTGAGTGATGAGTCGGTCATAACGGCCCCTGACGTTCGCTGCGAGGGTGGTCTGGCGACTGGCGACGGCCCCTCACTTGGCGTATAATCCCCGCCGCGTCAAAACTGAATAATATTCCGCAGGCGTGTCAGGTTACAGGCTGCTGAATTATGCAATGCCAATAAAGAAAATACAAGGTTACAGCGAGTTATCGTAATGACTGTTGCCTTTAAATACCTATGAACATACCATACTTGGATGTTGCGCAAGTTTCTATTAGCGCCAGAGAGTTAGGTATGTAATGAGCAGAGATCTTATATACATCCAGCCACCCTAGAAAGTGGCCATGTTCTTTGCTTTGCCACGAATTGCATGAAAATACGCTGTTTTATCGGTGGCTTCTTTGATCTATGTAATTATCGCAAGGCCATCCTGCCTAAGGGAACAAGGAAGGCTAAGCTGCAAATCCGCCGAACTGCCTCAACCGCGGCACGGCATTGTTGTACCGCGCTATGATATGTAAATTGGCTCGGTTTTAGTTTGCTCGCAGCCCGCCAGAGGCTTGGGCCTAATTTGTCGTCATTAGGCGCTCGGCACAGCCCAAATCAGCAGTGTAGGCCTGGCGAATACCACAGGCACGCCCCACACACCGGCAATGATCTAACCAGATTAGCAGTGTACCAGGCTTAATCTCGCATCTGCTCCCGTTTTAGCGTGTATCTACATCAAAGACGGCGCTCTAGCCACATACATACATGACTTTAGCAACTGGAATGAGACATGGATAAACACGCCATTTGCCTGTAAAGAAACGCGAAGTTTCTGGAAACGAGATGCTACTCAGATGCTAATTTAAAGGCTCGTAAATACGCCACAAGAATGCACAAATGTGAACAATAAGACGGCAGAGACAACCTCTTGCTGTTTGTGGCTTTCAAGCATGCCCTCATTTGCCAGCTACCTGTCTTTTGCAATGGAATATTATGCTATTTTTTTTTAGACGATTTACAGATGTAAATGAATCTTGCTCCATAGAGAACTTCATGCTGCGATAGCCGTCCTCATAACCTCTTCTGTCTTGTTTCAGATACTGACCCGTTCACACTGTACTTCTGCGTCAGTTTTACGCAGCGGATCCCTGCCGATTGTTGGAAGAAATCACCAGGTAAACAGGATATTTTTTTCTGTTGGCAGCCAACGCTTTAACGGAGGTCCTGTCATACATACCTATGCATTTCCATGCATAATCTGTCGATGCCCGGGTGTTCACGTTCGTGTGAATGTTGTTTGTTGATTCACAGGTACCAGTTTTTCCTGCAAATTAAGCAGGATATCCTGGAAGGCCGTCTGCCGGTCACCCCGGAGCTGTCGGCGGAGCTGGGTGCGCTCGTCATACAGTGTAAGTGTGAACCACCTCTCCCTCCCTCTCTTTCTTGGTCCTTTTTTCTGTTGCTCTACGCATACTGAGAGATTACTGACTAGTCCTGCCTCTCGCCGTCGGATAATATGCACAAACTGGGCCGTTGACGTCATGGTCAGACATCAAATCGATGTCGTCACTGTGCACAAGTGGGTCCGGTTATCTATAAGAACCTTGGCTCCGGTGACTTCACTGTCGAAGCTCGCTCGCACCTGCGCACATTGGACCTCGGTCACATGCTCACGGGGACATGCCATCTGACAGAACCCAACCGTTAGAAGTTGGTTCAGTGCAACTGCAGTTGGTGGGTTGTATTGAATGGCCAATTTTATAGACGCTGCTGCGCAGCCAAGTGATTTTAACTATATGGTTCTGTTTGAACGCGCGCACAGCTAATCATTGTTGCGTATGAGGCGATAATTGTTTTTGTCTTCTTGGTATTATCCCACTACTAAGTCTCCTCATCTAAATAAATCTCCCCTTCACAGCGGAGCTTGGCGACTATGACCCGAAGCGGCACACGGATGGCTATGTGGGCGAGTTTCGGCTCTTCCCCAACATGACACCAACACTAGAGGAGAATATCGTCGAGTACCACAAGACCCTCGTGTAAGTACCGTACGGGCGACAATGATTGGAACGGTACACTGAACTGCTTGTAGTAGACGACTGTGACTTGCAGGAACGCATTGGGTATTGTTGAATGATAAATGCAATTCATGTTTGACACAGTAGCTGAGGTGACGTAGTATTTTCAGTTGCGTTGTCCATGCCTTACTGAAGCTAGCAACATCCAAGGACGGAGCACTGAAATCAGTGCACCTGGACACTGGGCAGTGCAGGTGGTGCCAACGATACTTTTGTGCAGAACGAGGTCAAATATAAATCATGACAACCACTGAGGCAGTTTAGTTTAGCATGGTTTAGCTGTGGACTGATACCGATACCGATCGATATCGACTCTACCGTGTCCGACAGTGGGCGAGTGCCTTCAGTGGTGGAATTCAACTACCTAGAGAAGGTCCGGTGGCTGGAGATGTACGGCGTCGACCTGCACCCGGTGCTGGTGAGTGCGTAGTTCCTGTGACGTAGTGTCGGCTATGACGACTGACGGGGGCCATGTGGTGCGTGACCGTCGGGCTGGGAATGGTCACGTCTCTGTAGTCAGAGACGGGGACATTCCTGGCCATCTGACAACAGGACCGCGGGGATTTTACAACACTAGCCTGGGAGGGTTGCGGCAACACGATCTTTCCAGCCTCGACGTCTGCCCTTTTTATTGATCACATCTTCACATTTTTTGGCATGCTAGCAAACATGGCCTACTGCATTACCACATTGCCAAATGAGGCAAACATTTATCTTCAGAAACTTTCACTTTAGATAATAAGATGTCTGCTATTTTCTTTACTGACATACGTTTTTATTCTTCTAGGGCGAGGATCATACGGAATACTTCATCGGCCTGACCCCCGCTGGGGTCATCGTTCTCAGGGGCAAGGTCAAAGTCAGCAACTATTTCTGGTATGACTCAACAAACTGCGGAATTGGTGCTAGCAACTGACTCATGCATTTGTGTTTTCCACGTTGCAGTTGTTGTTGCCACCACTTGCCAGTTTCCCCTGAAGGAATTAGTCCTCGGGAACGTCTTGTCCTGTTTTTTTTTCAGTGAGCTGTGAAAACCGAGCACAGGTTCTGTATAGAATGTGATTCCATCGCTGAACTATTTCCCACGTAGCCTGGTTGCTGTTTTCAGACTTATTTGGATGTAGTGTTGAACAAGGAAACCCTGTTGGGAGGTGGGCGATAAGCTCCTGTTCGCTCATGGGCCTCACGAATGACATCAGGGGCGGCTGGCAAAGCAGCAGCAGCTACAGACATTGTTTCCTTCAGCTGTGCTCCTCATTCACAGGCCGAGGATATCAAAGGTGCACTTCAAAGGGAAATACTTCATGCTCCGTGTACGAGATAAAAACGTAAGTTTTTTTTCAACGAGTCGATTGGCGAGGAAATGTCTCTTATGTCGATCGTCGCTGCCTGTAGCGTTAAAGTAGCATCAAACGTCTACCTTAGAATGATTACATTTTTAACCTCTCGCCGGCACAGGCCATTTTGAGTCCTTCGACGGCACAAGGGGGTTGATACGACCCCCCCCCCCTCGCGTTTGGCCCCTGATCGAGCTAGAGCTTCGCGGAAAAAACGAGCGGGTTGCCCGTCACGAGAGGAAGCCAATGATACCCAATTTTAAGGTCTAGTCATCGGGTGACCTTCCAGGTCAGGTCAATGACCCGAAAACCGGGAAAATCGGACCTGTTAGAAAGTCGTAAAGTGTGGCTGCTATGTGGTTTTCCGGGGTGCTGATCACGAATATCGTGTTAGTTTGATCAGAGATGATGTCTTAAGCATTTAGACCAGGTCGGTCAGGTCAGGTCAGGTCAACCGGTAGGCGTTGTGACGGGTATTCGTAATACTGTCAACCGCCTCGGACAGCTTCTTAACATGTTACGAAGGCACCAAAACTACTTCGTAAATGTTCAAATGGTTGAATAAATTCGAATTCAGCTCCCAAAACTAGCCTAGAAACATGTAAAACTCGAAAAAGTGAACCGAGGTCACCGAGGTCACCAAAGGTCAATGACCTGACCTGACCTTCAGGTGACCTTGACACCCACCCTAATGCATGGGAGCAATCAATCACATGTTTGAACGTTTGCAACCACGAAAAGCTT